AATGTTAATGCTACGATAACACTTCACGCGACTAATGTTAATTGCTACGCAGAGTAGCGTTGACTGAAACACATCGTAGCTACGCAGCAAACTTACGATAAACGGAACTTCATAATTTCATGTCACAAGGCTGCTGATTGGATGAGAATCGATCAAAAATTCACAAGTCATAGCACACATTATTGACATGCACAGTAATTTATGCATTATTATGTGGCTAGCCACATATAAATAATTTTTATGAAAAACGACCGTCATTAAATGATCTTTCTGCACAACAACACAAATGTCTCACACTATAACACAGAAGACGCGAGAGTGTAACAAGCGTGGCACAAAATTTAAACAAAGAACAATGCCATACCAATTGTCAAAATGTTTGTTGATTATGACGGTAGATAATAAATTGCGATGTCTTGCACGCTCTGTTTCCTCAGAACACGAGGATATAATCAACTATCAGTATTAAACTCATATACTATAAACGTATAATACACTAATAGTGAGCATCTAAGGCGGCCGCAAGATCGGGCCACGGGGCCCCGACGTTCCACGGATGTACGACGGGACGGATCTCCCCGCGACCGTAAAATGTTATAAGTCCGTGGCGGATCCGGATGGTACACAATTACCCGATGACGCGGCTACGACAGAAAAAAGCAGTCATCCGCCGGATCGTGCCGGACCAGCACGGAAGCACCACGGTCATGAAACACGGAAGCCACTACGGATGACCCCGACCAGCCACGGCAGCGCACGGACCATCCAGGATTGCCCGGATGGGAAGCCGGACCCAGCAGGGAGTCACACGGGCACCGCCCCGGACCGCCCCGACGCACGGACCTCCCCGGATGACCTACGGGATGCCCGGACCTACTACGGACCGCCCGGAAAGCCCCGGACCAGAAGCATTTTGGCTATAAAGTACACACATATGTATGTATGCATGTATGTGTGTATGTATGTATGTATGCATGCATGCATGCATGCATGCAGTGTATGTATGTATGTATGTATGTATGTATGTATGTAATGTATGTATGGTATTGTATGTATGATGTATGAGTGTATGTATGTATGTAGTATGTATGTATGTATGTAGATGTATGTATGTATGTATGTTATGTATGTATGTATTATTGTATGTATGTAGTATGGTAATGGATGTATGTATGAGTATGTATGTAGTGTATGTATGTATGTAGTATGTATGTATGTTAGTAGTAGTGCTATGTATGTATGTATGTATGTATGTATGTATGTATGTATGCTATGTATGTATGTATGTACTGTGTATGTTATGTATGTATGTATGTATGTATGTATGTATGTATGTTATGTAGTATGATATGTATGTATGTATGTATGTATGTTATGTAGTATGTATTGTAATGTATGTATGTATTGTATGTATGTATTGATATGTATGTATGTTGTATGTATGTATGTATGTATGTATGTATGTATGTAGTATGTATGTATGATGTATGTATGTATGTATTGTATGTATGTATGTATGTATGTATGTAGGTATGTATGTATGTATTAGTGTAGTATGTATGGTAGTGTGGGGCATGTATAGTATGTTATTTATGTATGTATGTATGTATGTATGATATGTATGTAGTATGTATGTAGTATGATATTGATGATGTATGTATGTATGTATGTTATGGTATGTATGTATATGTATGTATCGATATGTATGTATTATATGTATGTATGTATGTATGTATGTATGTATGTATGTATGTGTATGTATGTATGTATGTATGTATGTATATGTATGTATGATTATGTATGTTATGTATGTGTATGTACTGTATGGATATGTACTGTATGTATGTATGTATGTATGTATTGTGATGCTATGTATATGAATGTATTATGTATGTATGTATGTATGTACTGACTGATGTATGCTATGTTATGTATGTATGTATATGTATGTATGTATGTATGTATGTATGTATGTATGTATGCGATGTATGTATATGTAATGTATGTATGTATGTATGTATGTATGTAGTGTATGGTATGTATGTATGTATGTATTATGTATGTATGTATGTATGTATGTAATGTATGTATGTATGTATGTATGTTATGTATGTAGTTGTAATGTATGTATGTATGTATGTATTGTATGTATTGATGATGTATGTATGTATGTCATGTATGTATGTATGGATATGCTATGTATGTCATTAGTATGTATGTATGTATGTATGTAGTGATGTAGTGATGTATGTATGTATGTATTATGTATATGTATGTATTGTATTGTATGTATGTATGTATGTATGTAATGTTATAGTGTTATGTATGTTATGTATGTATGTATTTGTTATATATGTATGATGTAGTGTATGCTATGTATGGTATGGTATGATGTATGTATGTATGTATGTATGTATGTATGTATGTATGTATGTTGTATGTGATGTATCGTGTATCGTATGTATGTATGTATGTAATGTAGTATGTATGTAATGTATGTAGTGTATGTAGTATTGTAGTATGTATGTATGTATGTATGTATGTATGTATGTAATCGTATGTATGTAATGTATTATTTGTATTATGTATGTATGTATGGTATGTATGTATGTATTATGTATGTAGTGTATGTATGTATGTATTATGCTATGTATGTATGTATTGTATGTATGTATGCATGTATGTATGCTATGTATGTATGTATGATATGTATGTATGTATGTATGTATGTATTGTATGTATTGATTTATGTATGTATGTACTGTAGTGTCATGTATGTATTGTTAGTATGATATGTATAGTATGTAATGTATGTATGTATGTATGTATGTATGTATGTATGTATGTATGTATGTATGTATGTATGTATGTATGTATGTATGTATGTATGTATGTATGTATGTATGCATGCATGCATGTATGTATGTATGTATGTATGCAGGTATGTATGTTAATGACATCTAGTATTTGATCATGTATTTTATAGTATTTTATAGTATTTGATAGTATTTCATGTATTTGATAGTATTTGATCATGTATGTATGTATGTATGTATGTATGTATGTATGTATGTATGTATGTATGTATGTATGTATGTATGTATGCATGTATGTATCAGTCAAGACAAAAACGACACGGATGGCCACGGATGGGCCCGGTTCAACACGGTGCCACTACGGACTGTCCCGGACCTACCACGGACTGTCCCGGACCTACCACGGACGCGCCACGGACCGTCCAGGACCACCCCGGATGGTGAAAACTTCCCGGACCGTCCCGGATCACCCCGGCAATTTTAAACAGTTTAAAACTTCCGGGGCGATATCCCGGAATGCGCCGGACCATCAAGGACCACCCCGGACCACCCCGGACCACCCCGGACCGGGCCGGACCGTCCAGGACCCAACAAGGATCTCACCCCGGATCAGTCCGGCAGCGTCCGGCCCGGTCCGGGAGCTTGGTGTGACTTTAGCTTAAGGAGTTAACCTTTAAGTTAAGGAGGGAATGTTCCCCCTTCTTTTACACCTCTTGACCTTTGACCTTTGACCCCAAGCTTCGACATCCCAACTCGTTTTCGGATTACCCCCCACGTCCCGACTTTCGAATCCGCACGTCAAGCCGTTTAGATTTGTGCCCAACTGTTGACGGACGCACGCACGGACGAACGGACGCACGCTCATGCGATTCTACAAGCTGCATCTGACTATGTCAGATGAGCTAATGACCGAAATATGACCTTTCATTCTCGACTACCTCAATTTTTGCGTGTACATTTTTTACGCTGACCCCCTATAGAGTACCGAAGTGTGACGTCACGTTGTCAAGACAACATACGGGCTGGTTCTACACAACCCACTGGCTCCATAACATTAACTGCGTGAAAATGTTGTGCATACGCAAAACACGAGTGTGTGCGCTGCAGACAGCGGTAAAGCATCGGTAGCAAGTCGATCTTACAATATTGAATAAATTGAAAAAAAAAATGTTTTTTAAATGTTTTTGTTTATTTTTTATTTTTTTTTCGTTGCTTTTCACTTCCATCCTTTGGAAATCTATAAAAACTGCAATAATGACTCTCAGAATGATGGTTACAATCGGGTACAAAACACGACACGCAGTTAATGTTACCATGCAGAGCATATGATTGTGTAGAACCACTAGGTTCGTTGTCATGCCACCGTGACGTCATCACTTCGGTACTCTATACATCTATACTAAAGCTTCGTACCGACTTATTTAGAAAGCACTTACAGGAAAATAACTGCCGCATGATATACATCGCACCTATAGCAAACGTCCCTCTCTACATAATCATTGCGCGTGGACAAATTAATACAAGTCAAACCTGAGTCACAGTTATGACGCACGCTGCTATACATGCTACTCTATGGTAGCATGCGCATATCCGCAATGTAGAGGGGGCTGAGCCATAAAGGGGATATATACTATCAGGAGTCTATCAATATTGATAGACTCCTAATATTGATAGATTCCTGATACTATGCTAAACCAGCCTGAAGAACAATGAAATCCCACGTGCTGACTTTCAGGGTTTAAGCTGCCTATGCTAACTCGTTGCTAACGCTGCGTTTTACCCAGGGGCAATTTTCTGCAACATATAGGCCTACTGGTCAAACTAATTATTGCAAGTTTAGTTATTTTAAATAATCCAATTTGCATCACAATGCATAATTTAGCATCAACGATTGAATGATCACCAGCATGAAGCTTGTCTTCTCGGTAATTCACACGAAAACATAAAGTTGACACATGCAAATTAAGTAGGAGACAAAGCCCGTAACAGCTTATTCCAGTGTCTATACTTAACAAATCACTCAATTTACAAGTAAAATGAAAATTGAATAATATTGTAATATGCAATAAGAACGCTAATATGAATATTTTGGAGTGACGTGATGTTATCTATACTGTAATTATAACAGCAAAGAAAAAGATAATTTAGAGAAAATATTCAACAGTATATAGAACCAGGGAGACATCGCAGAGTATCTTGAAGTGCACTTGCTTTATATGCAAACGATTATATGAAAATATTTTATAACAATGTAGAGAAATAGTTTGTGCCACTGGCAGCGATAGCTCTCAAACAAATTACTACCCGGGAGAGAATTTAATTTTAATATGAAAACGTTTCTGTAACGCTGTCAGTTCGGACTTCATGTTCAACTACACAATGAAGCAAACCTCTGTTAATCAGTCTGTGATGCCACAATTTCATGATTTAATTACAACAGTCCTCCAATTCCACGGAATCTCCGAATGTGTCCCTCAAAGTGACACAGTTTATGCAATCACGTAGTCTAGAAACGCTCTCACTTAAACACGCCGAACAAACGCGGCATGGCTAATAATTGGCTGGCTACACACACATACGCACGCGCACGCACGCACGCACGTACGGACGCACGCACGCGCGCACACAGTGATCAGTGATCGAGCCGCTGCTTTCACGTTACTGTCACAGTGAAATGCACGAAATAAATTCATAGAATGAATGCAGGAAACGCTGTGCAATTACTTATAGCGCTACTCAATGGTAATTCAATCTGCCGAGTTTTCAGATATATAAACACAGGTAAAACTATAAAGTGAGCGCTAGTGGTCTTGGCTGTACAGGTTTTAATGCATAACAGCAGAATTTCGCTCTCCTCTCAATACAGCCAGAAACACAAATGATTGAATTAAAAAACAGCAAAAGCGCACTATGTGGTCCCGCATATACCAGCACCGCAGGTGACATGGATTATCGTCTTGAAACAACTGTTTTTACGGTCACTGTTTTCGGTTTACATGGTTTTTTTGTCCAGCTCCTCGTTGTCTCTTATTGACACTATCAAGATGAAGTATACGTTTCGTGTTCCCTTTACATGTTTATATGTAGATGTAGATAGCATAATGAAATCAATAAAGCCAACCCACTAGAGAAACGCTTACTCATAGATCAAGCCAAGTATTGTCTGTTTAAATCTGACCACCTGAACCGTCCATGATTGTCAGGACAATGCCATTAGCTAGGGCTTCACTTCTAATGATAAAATGGATGACAAATAAACATGGCCACCGATTGTCAATGAGCGGCTGGTGGACAAATGCTAACAATAAGGTTGAGGGTTGTTATTACCTCCGCCAAGGGGTTGGCAGGAGGTTATGTTTTCATCAGCGTGTGTTTGTTGGTTTGTGGGTTTGTTTGTGTACAGCCTAATTGAAAAAGTTATGGACGGATTGTCATAACATTTTCAGGATAGGTCAGAAATGGGCTAACTTAGTATTGATTAGATTTTGGTGGTGATCCGGATCCAATTAATTAATTAATTGATTAATAAAATTTTCAGAATAGGTCAGAAATGGGGTAACTTAGAATTGATTCCATTTTGGTAGTGATCCGGATCCAATTAATTATTTAATTAATTAATTAATAAAATTTTTCACAGTGACAGAATGGTGAGCTGCCTTGGCAGAGGTCTGCGCTCTCCGAGTGCTCTAGTTATTCTATAGAAATGCCTCTTTATTGGCTCGTATCACGTTAGTTCTGTGTTCCTTATTCCTCATTGAAAAAACATATCAAGGGAATTGTCCTTACACAGAATTGTAGGTTATTGCAATCCTTAAATCGCAGTGGGAATAAGTGCCAATTTCTTGCACATTGCATGCAATCAGTTTTAAATTGGTTCTATTTGATTATGGCTATATCGTAATTAGCACGACAAATCGGGCTAATTTTATTTTGCCAGGGTAATATTTATTTCACCTTTGCGTAAACTTGCTGCCGATTCAAGCCTACAGGTACGCATGTACACGTCTTGACGTGCCCACGCGTTTAGGAACATGTACAAATAATTTTGGATAAATGATCTGAAAATCAGGCACGAATAAGTGTACGTATGTATATATCAGGAACATGCTACGTGTACATAGAAGCGTTCACATAA